TCCCATCTGACCTTGCTGCCATCTCGGACTTCGGCACCTTGATCGCATTCAAGACTTCGGCTTCCGTTGAGAGACTAGTGTCCATTGGTAAGCAGTTCTGTGCGTGATGGTGGTATTTCTGGGGGAGTTGCAAGTGGTGGTCAATTCAAGAGTCCTTTAAAGTAGTCAGCCTATTGTTTTATTTTTCTCTCCTCATTGGTAATCAGGTTCCTTTGAACATCTGACACTGGTTTTATCATCTGGGTTGATCTCTTCCCGGATAGCGAGTGACCTGTATATCTGATATAATGTCCTGGGGTCCTTTTTACCTGCGCACTAACTGTTCTGCCTCAGTTGCCTGCCAGCCAACCATGGAATTGTCTTTTGTCTTTCCTGGCACTCTTCACTTCTTTATTCAGTGCAGTGTACATTGAACACAGTTTCTCCTTCTCTAGTTCACCACTGTGTTGAATCATCTTCTCTTTCACCACCCTCCTCGCCTCAGTTATCTTCCAGGTATCCGTTGACAGCCATTTCTTCCTTCTTCCTAGAATAGTTGTACACGTTTCCTTAAATATCGCTTTCAGAGAGTTGAATGTTATTCCACAGAGGTTTCCTCAGTGTCGGATGGGATCTGTATGGTTTTAGGTGTGTCCGTCAGGCAAAATCCATGTGGATTTATGTATATGCTTGTGCTTGTAAACGTTGCCTCCGACCACCAAATCACTGAAAGCGCAGAAGTGTGCGTAGAGTTCTCCATTCTCATTCATTTCACCAAGTGACAGCCTCTCGACCCATAATGAGTTCTCTTAGAGATCAAACAGTGACAAAGACAAATAATAAAGATCAAGTCAGCATGTGGTATGCAAATGTCAGAATAATGATATACATTCTAAAAGAGAAACAGATAATAATTACAAAGTTAGTTGAAACATTCAAATGGGTGTCAACATCCTAAGTGGATCTTTCAAGATGGATTTTACAAACAATTATTCCTTTACACGTATATAGCCGAAACACGGTTGTATTCAATATGTATTTCATCAGCATACACATACACATAGACACAAATAGATGTCCAACATCATCTTTAGCGAAGCACATTATAGAGACAGGTCATAAGGTTGGTTTAAACAATGCCTTTAAGCCGATATCTTAAACAAAGTTGGGCCACATACTCAAATTCATTGAAGCCTTAGCGATAAAGAGACTTAAACCTGTCCTATGTGTCCAAAAGTTATTTGTTATCACCTTGAACCTGCCTTGGTAATCCAATTTAGAACCAAGGTCCAATTTACTTCATAGTATTTTCAACCCCTTCTTTACCTTGTTTTTCTCTTTTTCTCTTTCTTACCCACACCTTTTGCGTCTCCCTACCCATTATTTGTAACCTTGACCTGTACACAATCTGACCTGTATTGTAACTAGTCATGCCTTCTTGCCTTCTATAAATCTGTGTATGACAAGTACGTGTGTGATCAGAATGTCCGAAATGTGTTGCGCCAATACATTACACGTTTCAGATGAACTACGTCTTCTTATTGCGTTGTCGAAATTCACTTCTTTTTATTTTGTGATATGCGAGTTCTCCATCTGTTTTCATGCCAGTGCGCAACTAAACATAACTACACTTTCGTATCATTAAATACTACACTAGTAACATATAACGATAAAAATGCTAGTAAAGCATCCGTTCTAATAGTCACATTGAATACCCTTCATCAATCAAGTAAATGGTAGATATTCATTGGCCAAATGTGTGTATAGATCAACAAGTCAATAATAATAAGCACTGGGTGACAAAATAGTCACAGTGTTTGGTATGGTGGATATAAGGAATTCCTTCAAGGAAGAAACTGAAATGTTGCGCTGCAATACACTACTGACTGATCAATATTAGTAGTTGGGAACCACTCACAGCAAACAGCAATGGTTTTCAACGTAAACATTATTTCAAAAATCCATCTTGAAAGATCCACTTAGGATGTTGACACCCATTTGAATTTTTCAACTAACTTTGTAATTATTATCTGTTTCTCTTTTAGAATGTATATCATTATTCTGACATTTGCATACCACATGCTGACTTGATCTTTATTATTTGTCTTTGTCACTGTTTGATCTCTAACTTTAATGCTTCACTTTCTGGTTTTGTGATATATTGATAATATGTTGTTTTACGATGTGATTTTGTTTAAATGAATGAAGAAGATTCTGACCTTGGGCTGTCTGCGGGAAGTGTAGGTGTGTGATTCTTGTGCGCATAGTTTCGATACCACCTTAGTTTATTTTAGGTTTACTAATTTTATTTTACAGTACTTGTTTTGTATTAGTTTTGAGATTGTGATGTTATGATGGTTGAATAGAACCGATCACAAAAAATCTTCTTTTTGTTGTCTTTCAAAAGTCTTGTGACTGTGCGTTCCTCAAGGGATTTTCAAACAGCTACACAGTAGAACTTAAAAATCGATGTGCTGCGTTTAGACAACACCTAGTCAAGTTAGACCTGGACATTGACAACTTCAGTGCAGTCGATGTAATCATCATAGTAGTATCGATGATTGTTACAAAAATTCACACGATTCTACTGATGAATTGCATACTCATTTCATTGAATGTAAGTTTGATTTCCTGCCAGGCGAGTGTGACTTACTTTCATAAAAAGCACCAATCATTGAACATGACTACATATGCATAAATTAATAAGTGAAACTAGCACTTTTAGGGTTTCATGCTGACAATGAATAGCTTCTTCTTTGAGGATAGGAAGATAGCAGTATTACTGATCAGAAGAATGTAATTTTTATTTCTCACCACCAATATTCCCACATTTAGATAAAGCTAGTATGTAAGAGTGTTTTTAGTTTATCTGGAAATAGTTGAATACAAATTCCTCACCTGCATATTTGATAAACACCAATTTGTGAATATTTTATACATTTGAATGTCTATCCATAAAGTGATTCTTTTAAGCCACTGTAATGAAAGCAAATAGGAAGAACAGATGTAAATGAATGTGAACATTGAACGCCGGTTCATTTGCCTTGGTCACCATTTTCGGGCAACTCGAAGGCGCGAATGATCCAATCATGTAAAAGTTGGAAAAAGAAAAAAGAATACGAATAAAAGTACAGTACATTCCTTGTAAAACATTTGTTTATAAACTTTGTCAGAGTATTGACTTTAACTGACGAACAATACAACTTATTACCTGTTCTTATGTTTTGGAATTAAGGTCAATACTGTACTCAGTAATTGTCGGTTCGAGCATCTTCAGGGATAATAAGAACTCAGGGTTAAGTTACTTAACAACAGAGATCACACAATGTAAAAGAGTCCTTACTATATACCCTTATCATTCAAAATAGATGCAGCGATTGAGTCGTTGACAATGAGGCATTCGGAATCAGTATGAAAGCGTTGATTTTCATAATGCTATGTGTAAAGTTCAATGACTCAATGATAACTAAGGATAATATCATAATCCGAAACTGTATTCTTCAAGCTCATTAGAGAGAACAGACACTGTACATGGCTTACACAACGTTTTCAATGTACAGATGTGTATCTGAATAAGCGAACGTGATCTTATGAAAAATATAGTCTAATTAGACATAGTGATTGATAAAACATCTGTAAATAAACTATATGTACTATCTTAACACTATTACACAATTATTATTATCGTTTGATAGGTATAATAACACCTATTTATCGTTTGTCCCACTAGCCTTTGTTATTCAAAAGCCCAGAAAGCGAGTAGTCTGTCCGGTTTCTGCTTCAACCATAAATCTCGTGAAAACTATGGAAACTAATGCATTGATAACAACAACAGAAAACTCTGTTCTGTACGAAAGGTATGTCAGTTGTACTTTTACCATTTGTGGTAACATGCTTGACCTAGATAATGTCCTACAAAGTTTTAATAGCTTCCTCCCAACTATCAGTTGTGCATTTGAAGGAGGAACTGGACAAACAGTCCCTTTTCTGGACATTTGACTAACCAAGCATAATGATGGAACATTGAGCAAATAAGTATATGGAAAATCTATGTGCAACGGACAGTTGACAAACTTTTACACATGTGTACTCAATAATCACAAGCCGAAACTGATGGTATCTCTTACAACGACGGTCCGAATAATCTGGAACCCTGAGCCGTCAGAGGAAGAGATCACTACTTTGCGGATAACTACTGCTGGTAATTTCCATCCCCTTTGCTTCATAGACAATCACATCATACCCATAACACATGAAGAACAGTCCATCTCTGTGTCGAAGAAGTCACTACATATGTATGTGGCGTTCAAAGGCGACCTCCTGGTTTACCCTCTCAAGAAGAGAATAACAAACACCTTAAAAAGAGAAAATTCTTTGCAGCCTTGTCCAGACTATATAAATTAAAACAAGGTTGTGTCATGAGTCTAAAATTGTCTGCTACTGTATACAACTTCCCGCAGTGAAATACAGTCAATAAAGGCGGCAAAAGAACAGAAAAGTACACTTCTGTTAGTGTACCGGTTCCTCCTTTTTCTTCGTGATCCTTCTCTTACTAATGTTCCATATGTTGTTGGCATACTGACAATTTCATGTGTCTTTCTCTGATCCATAACTCAGATGGTGTCAAACAATAGAAGCATTTACTTGTACCTTAGTTAATGCACTGACAAAAAATACCAGTAAATGATTTCATCTGAACTGAATTTCATTTTGAGTAGAAGTAAGACAAACTAAACTTTACAGTTATCGAAGTGCAACTATCCCACAGTATTTCCATTTATAATCTACATCTCTGTTCAAATTCATACTACTTTAGTCGTCATTAGAAACAGTTTCAAATGCAGAGGTATCTATTATCGAAAATAAGTAATTTTTCGAGAGTCACAAGAACATACCACATACTGCTGAAGTATAAACAATCGTTCAAAGTCCACCAAAATATACTGCACTGTTTCAATCACACTAAGCACATGTGCGATCCTATATATAAATATATGAATTAATAACATTTTACTGTAGGAATTTAGATGAAAACATGTGAGTTGTAATTGATTTCCTGTGTCTGAGAGGACAAAATGTAAGCGTTTTCAAGAAGCGACTAGTTATTTATATATTGTAAACAAGTTATTAAGACGCAAAAATACGACCTATTGAAAACGTAAATCGGGTTTTAAACAAGAAATCAAGGATACCTCATAAGATTATCGAACATATTATGAATGCGTGAGTCAGCAAGGAGATCTATGTTTTTGTAACTTAACTTCAAATCGGTACAGTAATTTAGGGTATTTATATGTGCAATTTTATGCCATATTACCTGTATTCTACATTACTTTAAATACTGTTGAACACTGGTGTCCTGATCACTCTGAGTCGGATTCAAGAGCTGTTACTGGCATACGGAATAACTATTCTACAATATACATCTATCTTCTCTGTTTCAGTAAACCCTTCGACATATGTTATTTGGTAAAACTGACTCAAAGTGTTTGGTAGAATGAAAGACAGTGCATACTTTTAAAAGAATACCGATTTGTAAGCCCCATAAATATATTCTGCAAGTGTTCCGAAGCAAAATTAATCACCTAATGTCTCCTCCTGTGAAAAGTTGCCTTCATGAATTTTCAAACTGACTTTGCATCTAGAAGTTTATTTCCTGACAGAATTAAGAAGTCAACACGAAAATGAAACTGGATGAAATATCATTGGTTTGTGCACGTGTACATCTCGCCTTATTTTTATAGAATGTGACCGCTAGACCGACCTCTTCAGGATTCTGTGTTTTAAAGGTAAGAATGCTTTTCAACCGAACTAACAATCCAATTAAGTGCATTATTTTTACATGTATAATGCTTGTTACAACGATCATATTTACATTGTTATTTGCGAACATGTAAGACTGTGAAATGCTGTCTTCATACTTTTATTTTAGAAAGGTACTCAGAAAACTGGATTTCCCATTTTATGTATCAACTGCTCTTATGTGAGTTGTCATAAATGTGGTTATAAGATTTTTTCCAAAACAGTTATTCAGTGCCATTCTCTCTATAGTAACAAATTTTAATTATGGATTATTTGATATTATCAATTCCATTATGGGTAAATTTTATTTTGATAGAGTCTCACAGTGTTATACAGTAATATTTACTGATGACGTTTCGAGTACAATTTATTGCTCGTAATCATATCAAGGTAATCACACGACTTTCTAAATTCATTTATATAGTTCCATTGTTTTTCACTTGATTTGATTGGTAGTATTATTTTCCATATTTCGGGTATGAGTGATGATTTATTCCTATTGCATGTGTTGGGTGTAGATTCGATGAACAAAGATTCAGTAATCAACCTCTCTCTCCACCTACCTAGATTACTTTTTAGAATTTTAACACTCTCCCACCCTATTGTGTGGTTGTGTGTTAATGCATGCATTGCAATTGCTGAGCTTTTTTCTAAATCACTTATCTTCTCTGGGTCAACATAAGAATTTAGCTAAGGTAACAATGGTTGACTCAGAGAAGATAAGTGATTTAGAAAAAAGCTCAGCAATTGCAATGCATGCATTAACACACAACCACACAATAGGGTGGGAGAGTGTTAAAATTCTAAAAAGTAATCTAGGTAGGTGGAGAGAGAGGTTGATTACTGAATCTTTGTTCATCGAATCTACACCCAACACATGCAATAGGAATAAATCATCACTCATACCCGAAATATGGAAAATAATACTACCAATCAAATCAAGTGAAAAACAATGGAACTATATAAATGAATTTAGAAAGTCGTGTGATTACCTTGATATGATTACGAGCAATAAATTGTACTCGAAACGTCATCAGTAAATATTACTGTATAACACTGTGAGATTCTATCAAAATAAAATTTACCAATAATGGAATTACACTCTACCACAGTGCCCAAGTTTTATTCTTATATCAATGATATTATCAATATTTTTGAAAATCGCTCATAATCATTTATTAGCAAAAACAAACAGTGTTTAAGATCTTTAATTTACGCCAGTTGACTAAGCAGAATAACTCAATTCATTTCAGATCAGTTGGAGCACTCCCTGCAACAGTCTTGTTCATTGAGGAAAAAATTGAAGACTTCTTACTCGTGAACTACATGCTTGTGGCATTGAGTGTAAGTATCTCATTGTGTTTGCCAATTAAATGTGTGTATTTGCCTATTGCAATTGATGATTATCACACAAGAATAACAGTCTTTGGATTAAAAATTCGGAATCGAATGTCTCAACTACATCAGTTTATCATTGGCGAATCCGTGGACTAATTTAATGATTGAATGTATATTTCAGAACAAAAATAGTCGGAGCTGACAACTGTTCTCATTAAGTTCTCCTTTAAGCTCTACAATTATAAATCCATTAATTTAAGCGCACCATAGGTAGAAGAATGATGTCCGACCGCTATGTTTTTACCTGGGCCTATAATAAGGTCAACAAGTCCTTCATAAACATTGGTGCTTCAGAATTCTCTCGCAATTTTCTTCTTCTCGATTGTCCTTTTCTTATGACTGCTGTGACTTATAATTACGTAATGTCTTTCGGAATCGTTATTGCGTTTATTCAATAGTGTTCATTTCACTTCATTAAATACATTAATATTTGATGTCGCTTAACCGTTCAGTAATAGTGCTTTTCATTTTACACCACATCGTCGTTACCGTTACTTCACCACTATTATTCTTCAAGCTTGACCCCAGATTGATATCAGTTAGAGAACCATGGAAAACCAGCCAGGAGTAATTCACAGCTGTCTCCTCATGTCTTGGAAATCGTCGACAATACACAAGCTCGCAGACCATCCATCCACTGGCACCGACCCCACGGCCGACCCATGCAATCTAACTACTACTAATTCGTGATCTCAGCGCGATAGCAGCCAGTGTTATCGGTGAGAATTTGTAATCACTCTAGACAGGATGTACACCACCGGTCACGACTTCTCACTAAAACTACCGGAAACTCCATCCTGTAAACAATCGCTAGCGAGCATCCAATTAATGTTTCAAGTGTTGCCTTGTAACCTGAATGTTCAACGCTGGAAACCCGGTGGGTGCGTACTGCAAATTAGTCTCAAACTAGGACAAAACAGCTGTTCGGTTTTTCTTGGTTCTCAATGGTTCCCTGACTGATATCAATTCGTGTTTAACCTTGAAAGATATCAAATACAGATGTTCTGAGTATTCATCTGGGGGATGCAGTGGGACATATATGGTGGGAAGCAGTATGAAATATACAACGAAATTACCCCCTCCCCAAATATCTTATCATAAGGTATATTTGACGCTAACCAATGAAGAGAAAATTTTAACTGAGTAGTATTCGAAATTCACTGATAATGCATGAGATGTCATCAATGCATTGAATGAATGGACCAATAAAAATCCAAGTTACAGGTTGCTTTAGTATATCAAAAGCTGAGAGCAGCTAATTGGCTGGAAGTGGAAAGTTAGTAAAATTTAATAATAATGAAAATTATTCTGATGCTCGCTAGTGACTTGCTACAGGTTGGAGCTTCCTGCAGTTCTAGTGAGAAGTCGTGACCAGTGAGGTCCATCCAGATGTCACGTCTGTGGGTGGATGTCCCACCAACGACAATGGTTGGGGTCGCGCTAAAATCACGAATTGGTAGAAGTTAGAATTCATGAGCCATTGAATCGGGTCTCAGTGGCTGAATGGTATACGAGCTTGCCTTGTAAACGGAAGGCACTGGGTTCGAACCCCAGTGCGTACTTCTGATGATTCCAAAACTAGGATGAAACAGCAGCTGTCCAGTGCTCCCTGGTTTTCAATGGTTCTCTAACTGATATCAGTCCGTGATCAACTCGTAAAACATAACTAATCCTTACAAACCAAACTATAGAAAACTTAGCTTCCTTTTCATCGAATAATAAGACTAATTCAAGATATTAGGAATCTTTACACTGTCGGTATGAAATCTTATAGGAAAAATCTTTCATGACAAACACTTCGGTGCATATACTGGCTTCACAATAACAGTTTGGTCAACTCAGTATTTTTGAAGTAGAAGACAATGTGTGAGTGCGTGAATTTTCAACCGCTGTGCGTCATCAACTGCTAAGTTTGGTGAAACGTATGGTTCAGAGCTTGAGTATTTAGAATATAACTACATAATGTATTGAAACTGTCACAGTATAACGGCGTAGTTATATTAAATTTCGAACAGGCATTTGTGATTTGACACGCGAAGAGGTCAAAATCCATGAAACCGTTTGTGTTGTTGCCTACTTGCTGACTTTATACGATTCTTCTTTATCACTCCATATTCTAGTCACTTGTGAAAATACCCGAAAAAAAAGTTTTCCTTGTGTAAAGTAGCCTTAAGATTTCCGGTTGCTGCTGGATTGATGAAAACAGGTAATGTTGGAAACTGTCAAGAGAATTTGAGTAGTAACTGATTGCTGTAATTTGAATTTCATAGGCATAATCGAAATCTTATTTGAAATGTCAGGTGCAGTCAGTAAACTACTGACAAAATGCTGGTAGTACCTCAAAGTTTAGCGAAAATAACAAAATGTGATTTCACAATTACCGATCACTCTTCAGCCAAGTATTACTTATTCATTTCACAGGTATTAATTTCGTCTCTTGGAGTAGCTTACCTCACACGGTTCCTAAGACTATGGAGTTTGTTAGCGTGGCTCTTGGCAATGTTCCTGGCCGATGTGGCAATGAAAGTGGGATACTCACTGATGCAGATGACTCATAAAGGAGACAATATAACAATAATTTTGATTGTTGTATTCATACTTTTAGGATGTCTCCTGCTTCTTCCTGCATTCTATTTGGATTATAGAGTAAGTAGCGTTTTGGTGTAGCAACCTCTTTTTTCTTTGTTAATTTGGTTGTTGTCTATATTCCTTCACTTTCGCATCGCGATTACTGGTCAGAGTTGTGTAGTCATGTTGCTTGTCAACTGTGGTTAATTTCAGACTGAAATAGAAATTTTGACAAATCTTATTCTATGCAACTGTGCTGACGTTCTCTGTTGTTGTTTTCTTCATAACACAACAAACAGATATTAGAAATGTGTATTGTATTGTCACAGAAGTTGTTTGCGTCCAGTTTTTGTCAGATTTTAATAACGGAATTCACCTGATTAAAACGTTCATATTCTAAGTGTTGCATAAACTATTAAATGGAGCTTCATCAGAAATTGAATCATTCCATTTTTCATGCCCTACTTACAGGTACCTGGGTTCATACTTTTTAGCGTATTTGTTGGACTTGGTCTTATCTTGGTAAGTAAGATGTTTATGTTTGACAATGTTTTTAAAACTTTTTCTGGCCGAAATTTAAACGAATAATTTCAGTAAAGCGATATATATATATATACGTTCGGCGTAACGTAATTTTTATATTTCCGGTTGAATAGGTGAGACAGTTACAGAACTATTTCCAGTCAAAGGTCAAATTAATAAAATAAGATAATCAAATGGGTGGGAATATTCCAGAGTAATTTCTGGTCAAGAGTCGGATGAATAATATTACAATTAGGAATTAAAACCCCATAAGAAACGGGGAGGACGGAAGAAAACCAAACAAAGTAGAATCACATTTATTGAGAAGATTGAAATATTGTGCAATAAGGAGTTAGAAATGTAGAAATAACAAAAATAGACAGGATGGTTGGATAAAAAATCTAGTGGGATCATAACTAATGTGATGAATAATTGTTTATGCAATCAGGGATTAAATATGTAAAAATAATAAAATGACAAAATAGGCAGGAATTTTGGATGAGAAAGATAAAGGGATAGTTGATCTGACCGTAATCTTTTGTCTCTGCGTTGAATGTCTCAGATGAAACAATATCAGTCATTAGGAGTGCAGGTACGCTCACTTGAAGTGTTCCCGAAGGAACGAAATGTGCATCATGGATTCCAATACCAGTCACCATCCACCAAATAATAGACTTGATGCAGCTTGGTTTCAAGAAGTTGGAATTATTTATTTTAATTTTCTCGAGATTTGTACAGATACTTCTTTAACATGGATCTTTTTCTGAATTTACATCTCGACTAAACTCGATAATTTCACATAAGAAGATAACTCAAGCTGCACTGTAGAGTATACTCTTATCATACAATAATATTATTCGATAAGAAATTTGTCACACAGTATTATTTATCGGTGATTTTTAGAGTAAAGTTTATCGCTCACAATCAAATCAAGGCACCCACATAAGTCTCGTAATTTGTTTCTATATCCCCCTTATGTCTTATCATTCGATTTTGTTCACAGTTGTGTTTTCCATGCCTGTGGTATTGACGTTGCACCTATCAGGTAAAAATTTGATGAAAAAAGAATCTATGAACAGCCTCTCCCTCTCCTTGAATTTAAATTACTTTTCACAGCTGTGGCTCTGTTTAATTCAGTTGCGTGGTTGTATATTAATAAATGCACTGCGAAAGTTGAGATTTTCCCTAAAGTAGTCATCCATATGTGGTCAGTCATATTATGTCTAACTAGATTCCTGTATTCTGACAAAACCGTTGATGCAGATATCAACGGTTTGACCTATGTAGTTGACTTTACATTCATTAGAAGGTATCCTGTAAGTGAAAATCTATTTGTTTCACTCAGTACATAAAATGCATATCATCGTGTAATGCAATCTACCATAATTTGGACGTTGAAATAACTAACAATATCGTAATATACCCTCTTGATATAGAAACTGTTCGTCCTTCTTCGCACAGTGTATAATCACGATAATAACAAAGAGTGCAACTGAGTTTGCAGGTAAAATGAATATCGTCATGTAATACAAAGTGCCACAACTTGGACGTACTGGATCACTGATTTCACTGTGATATGCTTTAACAACTTTATGTTTGCTTTTATTTTATTTATTTTTTTTGGTCTGTGTGCAAAAGGCGTTATTTCTAGCTGGACAAGGTTTAAAGCTTTGCTACAAGAGAAATGAGATTACTTTCCTACCAGTAAAGTTGGCACTGATTATCTGGGCGTTAACGATCTTGTTGTATGTGGTGATATCAACTGCAATTGAAGAGATCAAAAATAATCAAATAAGACGTTTCAAAAATCACCGTATCTACATTAGAAACAACATTCTGCTTTGTGCACAGACTACTATTTGACTGTTATCTGTTGTTGTTGTTTTAAAAGTAAATTTTGTGTGAAACCTTTTTATATTTACATTTATCCTATAAGTATATGCCACAGGTTAGCTAGTCTCAGTAACGTGTTCCACACTCACTAACGTGTTCCGTAATTTTAATATTGTTTAGCACAGCAAGTAAAACCAACCATGATTAGTTTCCATAAAATCACCACCGTTTAGCTAAGCTAATGCTCAAGTCCCTAAATCCATCAACACTGTATTACCAGAATTTATGAGGATATCGGACGGCAGTAAAAGCTTTAGGGCAAATGATGAATGAATGGAATCATTTACCAAAGCATTCAAAATAAATAAGTTATGAAATGTGTGACCTAGAATAGGGCTGTTATTATTATTCCCTTGGGTTCCGGGTGAAACATAGGGCTTCAACAATACACCTACACTTCGTTGTAATTTCTGCTATCCACGATTGCCCATAATCTTGCATCTCCTCCTAACACGATCGCCTCCACATTAGCCACGGATGACCCACTTATCGCTCCCCATGGGGATCCCTCTCGAGCAATGGCATAGCGCACGATATCATTCAGCGTCCTCTTCAGCGTATGCCCAATCCATATCCATGTTCTTCTGCATATTTCGTCAGCAATCGACTCTTGGTTGGTTTGCTGTCAAAGTTCTCTGCTTCTAATTCTTTCTGGCTATTTGATCTTCAGTGTGAAACCAGAGAAGACAGATGTTGATAAAAATCTGTTACTTGTTGGAAATCCTTCTCGTGACGCGTCGTTTCTGACTCTTATAGAAGAACTGACCTAAACTTTGTGCTGAAAATTCGATTCTCATTCATTATGCCGGGTGCAGAAGATTTCCAAACTGATTTCAGGTTCTCCATACAACCGGTTCCCATTCTTAGTTTGAATAAACAAAAAACGAACATATTTGCAGGATAACAGGAGCTCGTTTTATTTCGTGGATTTCTTCAGCTGCCTAAATTCTTAATAAATCAATTATAAGTTACAAAATGTTGTCTGAACATATTCTTTACGATGACTTCAAGCTACAGATAGAAATTATAGGCAGCATAATTTCAAAGATGATGAAAGTAGACAATTGTTTAGTGTTCAAAAAGTAAATATTTATCTGGTAATTAAGCAAATTTTCAAATTTTGCTTGTAAACAAGGACGGACTAGAGACAAAGTACAAAATAGAATAATACAGTTAATTTATACCTTTTATGGTGGAGGACTCAGAAGGGTAGAGGTGAATAGTGAAGTAAAGTTATAAAATAGATAAAATAATTTAATCTAGTAGACTTGAAAACTAACAGTGACTTAAACTCAGCAAATGAAAATCAAAACCAAAACTGAGTGGCATGCTATGCAACAGAACACAGGACAAAATCACCCGAACAAAACAATAGCGGTAACCAGGGTAGTGAGAGATTAGTCACACTCTCTTTTTGTATGCATACGTTGTTTCGAAGTATTTTGATGGCAATGGTTTCTATAGACCAAAGTATCCATATTTTCTTTGTGTATTGATTATTTTGAAAGCCTGACTAATTTCCACTAGATAAGCTCTGAGAATCTAGTAGACACTCTCATCTCAGTCCCTCCTATGTACATGCTGCCACAAGTGCAGACAAATTGATAAATGCACTCGGAGTTGATATGAGCAGGATACTTGTCTAATTTTGACTTTTAACGAGCATACTGTGGTATAAAGTCGAATCAGTCTGGCTGCGGGAAGTGTTGCTTTCAGTGGAGCTTTAGTTCTGTATTAAGTCCTTATGGATACTCCTTCGATTTTTTACGTTAGACAGACAAAAACTAGTTTCTTTCCAACTATTTCGGGTTTCGGTCTGGGTGGTTTCTCCGTCTCATGTTTTGACATGAAATTGAAACAGTATCTGTTTTTGATATGGCTCATTTCGATGACTGTGAGCCCCTCTTCGATCTTCTGAGCGCATAATCCAGTTCACCTTAATGGAGAATATCATCGTCGATAATAGGCAGCATTGTCTTAACCCTGTATGCACTTCGAATGCCTCGCTGAGTTTCCCGTTGTGGATCACCTGACACCTGTCATTGTCATTTGGCCAGCTGTTGAATGAGGTTGACAAAGATTTAGACACTGCACGCCTTAGTGATGAAGCAGTTTTCAAATTACTTCTCGTTCAACACTGTCTATCGAAGGCCTTTTCGAAGTCAATGAAGTTGAGGTACAGGTTTGACTGCCGTTCTATGCTTCATTCGATGGTAACTTGTTGAGTTGCAGTTTAATCAGCAAATGATTTGCCTCTCCTGAATCTAGCTTGTTCCTGTGGGCGGAGTTCTGCATGCAAGGCATCTTTGATTCTCTGCATGATGACGCGGCTCAGTTTTTTACTTGGCGTGGACAACAGCATGATTCCGCGCCAGTTCTTTCAGAGACCTGCGTCTCCCTTCTTTAGTAGCTTGACGAAGTAGTCAGACTTTCTTCCGATCATTAGACACCTTTTCTTCCTTCCAAACCTTTTGCAACAATCGCGTCAGCATATCTACCGCAGTCTCTGGGTCCGTTTTCAGTGCTTCGGGGGAATTCTGTCTGACCCTGCAGCCATCTCGGACTTCGGCACCTTGAGCGCATTCAAGACTTATGCTTCCGTTGGAGGGCTATTGTCCACTGCCGAGCAGTTATGTGCGTGGTGTTGGCGGTGGTTGCACTCCTGGACGAGTTGCAAGTGATGGTCAATTCAAGAGTCCTTTAAAGTAATCAGCCTATTGTTTCTCCTTATTGGTAATCAGGTGCCCTTGAACATCTTTCACTGATTTCATCATATAGGTTGATCTCTTCCCAGAAATCGAGTAACCTGGTTATCTGATACAATGTATTGAGGTATATATTACCTGCGCACTGCCGGCCAGTCCAGCATGGAATTGTCTTTTGTCTTGCCTAACACACTTCTTCAGTTCTTTATTCAGTGCAGTGTACATTGAACTCAGCCCATTCTTCTGTTGCCCATCTTTGTATTGAATCATCTTCTCTTTCACCATCCTCCTCCACTCGATTAGCTTCCAGGTAAGTATCTTTGTGAGTCATTCTCTGTATTGTCTCTTTTTTATTCCTAGAACAGTTGTAAACGTTTCAGTGAACATCACCTTCACAGGGTTTGTTCCAGTTTTCTTATACGCAGGTTTCCTCGGTGATAACATGTAGTGTCTCCGACTTTGCTTTGATATCTGTAGCGAATGCATCCCCTGTAATTATGTCCTTCGCTTTCTGAGGGTTGAACTAAGATTTTGGCCTGTCTTCAGTTGTTCTAAATGCTTTCATCTTCACCTTGAATGTTCCTTGAACTAGATGATGGTCTGAGACCACATCTGCTCCCTTTCTAGACTTTGGATCCAACAGGCTGCCTCTCCACTTCCTTGAGCATTTTTGAGATGATATCTGTCTGGTTTTAGGTGTGTCCGTCAGGCGAAATCCATGTTGCTGTGTGTATATCGTTGTGCTTGTAAACGCTGCCTCCGATCACTATATCATATAAGGCACAGAGGTATGCATAGAGTTTTCCGTTCTCATTCATTTCTTCAAGTGGCAGCCTCTCGACCCATGATGAGCAGTGACAAAGACAAATAACAAAGATCAAGTCAACATGTGGTATGCAAATGTCGTAACAGTCTAGAAGAGGAACAGATAATAATTACAAAGTGAGTTGAAACATTCAAATAAGTGTCAACCTCGTAAGTGGATCTTTCAAGATGGATTTTTGTGTTTACGTTAAACCATTGCTGTTTGATATGACTGGTTCCCGACTACTAATACTGATCAGTCAGCAGTGTATCGCATGGTGACATTTCACTTTCTTCCTTGAATGAATTCCTAGTATCCATAATACCAATCATTGTGACTCTTTTGTCACCCAGTGTTTATTATTGACTAGTCGATCTATACACACATTTGGCCAAAGAATATCTACAATTTACTTCACTGAAAAAGGGTATTCAATGAGACTATTAGAACAGATGCTTTAGCAGCATTTTTATCCTTAAATGTTACTAGTGTAGCACATAATGATACGAAAGTATAATTATGATTAGTTGCGCACTGGCTCGAAAACAGATGGAAAACTCGCATATCACAAAATAAAAAGAAGTGAGTAGGAAGTTTTCATTTTGTAGCTTTATAGGAGGTCAATACAAAGTAGGATGTGAAAGAAAGAAAGCCATATTTATATACTGCAGTAAAGGTCTGCTATAGGTCATTCAACAGTTACAGTTAGAATTAAGTCCACTCAGTTAGGTTATGCACTGGAAATAAAAACCCTCAACTGGTGATTAGTGACTACAAATCGGGAGGCAAATGTAGGTAGCTTAGGCAGGACCATATCTTTTTCATCCTTTGTAAGGTTTCTACTTCCTGTGAGACTTTACTGATTGATGTATTATCTACGATGTTTCATTTAGCCTCCCGATTTTACTTGTCCACTGATATTTTGATGAAACACATATCAAATGCAGCCATGTTTTGGCTATATAAGTTTAAAGGAATAATTGTTTGTAAAATATCTCCTGAAAGATCCACTTACGACGTTGACACTTATTTGAATGTTTCAACTTACTTTGTAATTATTATCTGTTTCTCTTCTTGACTGTATATCATTGTTCTGACATTTGCATACCACATGTTGACTTGATCTTTGTTGTTTGTCTTTAATAATAATAATAATTTGCTTTATTCCAGAAACAGTACTAGTGGTGCAGTGTGGAATTTTCAGCACATTTCTACAATATTTGCATCTAATTTTATCCAACATTTAAAAGGAGTATTTCAAAATAAAGTAAATATAAAGAAAACAACAGCAAAAAAACAAAAACAATAATTTAAAAAATGCGAAAAAATACCAAGAAGTAGAAAGGAAAATAAACAGCATGTAATAAAATCTCAGTATTGGGTAGTGGAAGGTATGATATGATTATGCCTGGTGACAGTAAAGCTATAGTCATGCAAGAAGTTATGAAATGATATTTAAGAATGTTTATCGCCAAGATGATCAGTTAATTTGGTTGAAACAACTCTAAACAACCATAAAAAAACATTTCAGGGTTGTTGTT